CATTTGCGATGATTCATAGCATTGAGATTGCATTTCTATTTATGTCATTCCAACGTTTGAGGCTAGAACGCGAGCAAGTCAGGCAGATATTACTGGACTTGGAACAACTGACCTCTGACATGAGTTTCACATTAAAAAATCTGTTTTTAAAGCGGGCAGAAAGAGATTTTCGGGTCGCGAGGCGGCGCTGCTAGGGATAAAATCGCAATAAGTCTTCGTGCCACGAGCCAAATTTTAAATAAGACGAAAGATTTCTTTGAAAGTCTAAAGTATTGCTTGAGAATATAAACAACAAATCTCCGTCGGCGGTGCGGTCCGGAAGGAAATCTTGTCGAGTCAATATGACAGTTCTATTGTCTTTTGAAGAAAAGACAGATGACGCTCGCGCGTGCGCATAATTGGGACACTGTCCCTTTAAGTAACAGTTATTTAGCTATATATTTATAGAAAACAAAAACACAAAAAACGGAAAAGGGAAAAAATAGTTCGGTAGGACTTTCCCGTGTTGCGGAGTCAAAGAGTAAATGTTCATCTTCTCGTCAGGTTTAAGACCTGGATGAGTCAAGGGCTCTTGAATTGAAATCCAATCCAAGTTAACCATCGTACTCATCTGAAAGACTCCTGCGTGTCTTAAATTTGGTAGGACCTCTAACCGTGCTGTAGAAAATTTGCCACAAAGAAAACTCTGAGACTGGGCAGCGAACGATGAACTCTCTTCCCCGTGTTTTTATTTCAGTTGTTCGTGAGGCAATGCACTCTGGTTAAATGCAGTGGATTGTGGTAACAAATGTGGTTAAAAGCAATGCATTGTGATAAAAAGTGATGAATTCGAGAATTCGTCCCACCTTATATATTTCCTTTAAATCCTGATTATGTTGCTGCTCGCTCCCCACGGTCACTTCGCAGCAATTATTATTAAAAACTGAATCATTGGATAGCGCAATTTTAGTTTAAAATTGGAAGCTAGCTGAGATTTTTTTTCACGAAGGATAGAACGGCGCCCGAAGCAAATCGTTTTAATTCATTTCTTAGAATGCTAGAAATGCAATTTCATCGAAAGAAAAAAGACAAAAACAAACAAAAAAGCCACAAGAGCTTGTTTGAAAGTTTGTCGAAAAACACATGGAACTAAAGTACCTTGACCAGCTACGAAAGAAGACAGGTGTTGTTTCTACATGACCGCGAAGCCATTCTCCGATCGAGTCACTCGCCGATAGATAACTGCCGCTTGTTTATCCGACATTAAGAATATAAATCACAAGTAACCAGCTACAAATACAGGCTATGCAGCCATTCACTAGAGCAATCGAGGCGGCAGTACAGCTTCTTTTCTCGTTCAGCAAAACCAGCTTGTGGCTTCAAACAACCTCATAACAAGTGACCGAGGTAATAGTTTTTCTCCGTTGTTCTTACTTTTATAACGGCACCGAAAATCCAAATTCACACTAATTTCGACGGCTGTCACTTAAAAATTCTTTTCCTTCACATTATCTGCCAGGCTTTTTTAGCTGTTCTGCTGTGTAAAATCCTAGAATCCCGATGAGTTTTTAAAAAACTAATGTTCATCGCTACAATGTTTTGATTTTTCATTCATGCAGTCCAGGCGAGTCTGTTGGCGCGTTGACAGTTTTGATAGACGTGTGACGGGTGAATAGCGGAAGTCCCTTGTCTTTTCCGGTTGGTTCTAGTCGGGGAGATTCAACGAGATTTTGTGGGCGTTTTTAATAAAACAATTATTCCACTTGCGCTTGTTGGATATGAGATGATATATAGCCAACGAGGCACGTAGTGCCTCGTTGGCTATCTATCATCTCATATCCAATGCGCTCTCGTGGAATAATTGTTAATTATACTACCACATACAAATCAACATAAAATGAAAATTGAACCACAACATTACCAGGCAACAGTCTCCTTTTATTTCTCATTTTTATCCCTGGTTCATTTTTTACTATACTTTGTTTTGACCATGGTAATTTAATGATGAATATGAATGAAAGGACAATAAAATCTTGATCATAAAGATTCAGTTTTAGGGGTAATTTTCCTGTTTCCAAAATAGCTAACCTGTATCTGCAGAGAGTAATTTTAAGAGTACGCCATGAAATATTTTTTGCAAAAAGTGTTTTCAAAAAAACCAACGGAATAGTGCATGTAAATCTGTGCCACCAAAACTAGTTTCTAATGGTGGGAAAGGACCTAACATGTTTTCAGGGGCCACAATAGGCTTACCAAGAAAACTGATTTACATAATGTTGAGTTAACCAGTGTTTTGAAATAGTTGTTATAATGTCCAATGCAACTGACAATTTTTTGGGTTGTGGGAGGGGTTGGGTGTGGAGTGCTCATGGAAGTAAAAGCTTGCTGTTGCTATTATAGGCATTGAAGCAGAAAATGGCTATGAAAATGGGAAACATAAGATTGAAAATATTTTTTGTCATTTTTATGTTTGCAACTCCGCCATTTCAGCTTTTCAAGACTTTTTGCTCAATACATAACCTTGAGTAGATAATTCAGGAAATTTGATTCAGTATTCGAGTTTACTTTTCTAATAAAGCTTGTTGGTTTTCCTTTATTTTATTCTTCTCTTTGAACTTCCTTAACTGTCCAGTGTTTACATCCCGTTTTTGTTTGTTTGTTTGTCTTTGCTTGAAGGGGGTGGGGGAGGGGGGTGGTAGTTAAAGATCTGCAGCTTCATTGACTTGCGGCTCTCACATTTGAAAAGATTGAACGGATTTGGATAAAAAAAGAAGAGATAAAGAGAAATTTATGAAGAAACACCAACTTAAGTGAAAGAAAAGTTTTATTTGGCACGTACTGTATTACACACTGATTTCAAAAATAAAAAATTGAAAATTGGAAAATATTGAAAGTAAGGCAATATCACGTATCGCCAGAAACGATAGTAATTCATAGATAAGAGAAAACTAGAAAAAATACAAAAGGTTTGCGATTAAGAAATTCTATGACAGTCTCCTCACTCGACTACACCCTAAGAGCACTGTTGGCAAATAATGCAGAGGAATCACTATTTTCAAACCGAATTTCCTTTCAATCAAAGGGATCAGAAAATGCTTATGAGGTTATTCACAGATAGGCATGAAATTATCATAGGTTACAAGTCCAGGTCCTGGATTTGTCAAGCTAAAACAAATCTTATCTGATTGTAACTAAATTCCACCAGGTTGTTCCGAACAGTACGTAGTCTCCTGTCGTTGCTTGACATTATTTCGCCCTTTACCCATTCAAATGACTCTACTCTAATAGCCAGATATTTGGCCATTGTCTTGTGGTCTATGTCGAGCCCTGCCGCAAGACAATCGATACCATGCACCTCTGCCGTGGCTTGGGCGACCTTCAGTTCGTCTGCCAATTGTTGAAAGTTTTGCCCCATTTTCAGTGCCTTGGCAACTAGATGTTTTTTGGGTGATGGCTTGTTTTGTCCATACATCTCTCGCAGTTCCGTCTTCTCAGCTGTCTTCTATGTGCCAAAAAAAAAAAACGTTTTTGAGAATTTGCAACAATAATTACTTGCAAACAAGGTTGTCCGTAATACATCTAATCGTAGGCTACTTACACAAGTATCAGTCTTGACACTTTTGGATCCTGAGCCTTCGTCTCCACGTGGTTGACTGGATCTTTTCCTGGATTGCGGATAGAAAATAGGGAAAAAATGAATATTGCAAATTTCAATGCATCCTAATCAAAGCTATCAAAAACGTCCGCAAAGTATGTTTCGACGACTTGCCTTTTGTCCGTCTTGTGTGTTCACAACAAGTAATAACCTAGCAGATCGGACTTTATGATGAGCTCAGCCTGAAAAGAAGAGCAACAATAGAAAATGGCCGGAAACACAACAGAGGATTCTTCCAATCGCAAGGTGACAATTTTTCGTACGTTGTGATTAGAACACCACTGCGTGAGAGATTTTGTTACACGAAACATGGTCAAAATGATCGAAGTCCTCTTCTTTTGGCCTCTTGTTTTTGAGTAACTTGAGCCAGAAGATCTTGTGATTGTGAATGTATCGTCTGTTTGTCTTGCCCGGTGGTGATTTGTATTCCAAGGCTGCAAATCAACTGCCAAAGCATTGCATCATTGCCCACAACTTCACTTAGCCGACACAGGAAAGCAGTATTGAAATATTCCGCTACGTTATTTCTCAGAGTTAACGTGGATAAACCTATCAAGAACCATGATCTCATCAAGTGATTTCCTTAAACTTGTTGGAACAGCTAAACATCTTGAGATGGGGAACATTGAAAGCTGCAGCAGAATATCTGAAGAAGTGATATTCAAAGCTAAAAGTTTCCTTCCCTGTTTGAGAAGAATAAACATCTCCTTCAATGATCAGTCCAGCGTTCTTGCGGTGGCTTGTTTGTGTTCCTGTTCTTCCTTACGAGATATCCATGCAAGAGGAATAAGGCTGCAAGCAAAAGAACTATTCCTTCTGACAAGGACTTTTCCCCGACTTGGAAATAGACGCCTAACTCTGGACATTGGTTTCGAGGGAGGTGATTACTTTGTGGATGCATTAGACGCCTTGTCAGACTTTGATCTTTTTTAAAAAGATTCGCCCAGTTCAGGATTCAAATTTATAGCTATGTAAGAAAAAGATTTGCGCAAATCGCGCAGGGATTATTGCGAACGCATTTCACATTATTTTTCAGTGTTTTGTTCTGATGCTGGAAAACGTGCAATTTGGTGTCAGGTTTATGCGGGAAAACTTCAGCCAATGATGTTGGCTGTAAATGACATTTCTGTTGTCGCAGATAGGAAAGATAACAGGTATTTTGAGCACCCAAGTAGTCTTGACGAATTTTGAAAATTTCCTCACATACAAATTTTCTGAAAATTACTTGGTTTAATTCTTTCATCAATATGTATGTAACGTGTTAAATTTAGGTTTGAAATCACTCTGTAAGGATTATTTTTCGATGAACGCTTGTTTGAATTTGGCGCTAATGTTTTTTTGACCAATAAAAAATGGAATTACTAATCTAATTAGTAACTGAACAGCTCAACTCTCCAACGGTTTCCGGTGCTGCCGGCCTATTGTTTTCACTTTCCGTCTTAAACGAAGCGCTACTTAAAGCCCAGCCCTTGGGTGGTTCTTTCCTCGATAAAGTGACTGTGCCGCTGCCCTCTTGTGTTACTCCTGCTTTTCCAGCAAAGTGCAAGAGTTGAACTCCTGTCACTTTTTCTGCCCACTTTTTTCGTGCCAAATCGTAAATACTTTCACGTTCCATAACCATGATATGTCGCCCAGTGTCCATGTGAACTTGTAGATCGCTTTGGGTAGGAAAGAAGGTGACACATTCTTCGTCTTCACACATAACAAGATCCTCACATATTACAGGACCTTTTGTTTTCGACATCAAGCTTGGCTGAGCTCTTGCCTTGTTGATCGTAAAAGGGATAATGAGGCGAAGACATGTTGGTCCTTGCAGACACTGAGATAGGTTCTCATATAAAAACAGCTGACCCTCACCGACTCTATAAGCCTTCCACGCCTTTATTCCTGTAGTTAAAAACTCAAAATTGAACAATGTACTTATCCCTTTCCATTCTACCGTTTCACTCGCCTTTGAAATATGAACCTCTGATACTGCCACCCTACATCCACGTACTCCGCCATGAGAATCCAGCGCTTCCTTCATGTCACCTCTGGTAATTAAGTCTTTCTTCTGCCGATTATGACTGGGAATGAAAAGCTGAGGAAGGAAAATCAATCTTTACGAAATGAGATAGCTGAATTGAAAGAAAAACTCCAGAAAATTTCCGAAGAATTTTCGTCAAAGAAAGCGGAGCTGACAAAGCCGGATGCCGAGAAGAAAATGTCGTCAGAATGTGCTCATTCACTTGAATTCATCTCCAGTAAATATGACGACCTTGTCGCCTTCAAAGACGAAGCGGTGAAGCAAATCAAACAACTGTTTACTAGAGTCGCCGAAATCTCCATTCTCTGCGACCGAATTGCTAAATCCATCGACACTCTTAAAGCATACAGTTACCAGTTTAATGTTAAAATTGTGGATATGTTAGCTACAACACAAAATAAAACCTCCGATCAAACTGTAGCTCTCTGCCTTAGGCTGTTTGAAGCACTTGGAGTTGAAGATGTTTCGCTTAACGACATATTGCTCATCGGATACCGAGCCGTTCTGCCTTGAACAGGCTGAATGCTATCGTTTGCAAATTTACTCGAAGACTGGTAAAGGGAAAAGTTATGGCTGGGCAAAGGAGATTGGAGAACCTCGAGGCGTCACAGTTAGGCTTCCCTGACGATTTTGATATCAGTCATATTAACTTGTATGATCATCTAACTCCTCGACTACAGGAGCTTCTCTTCAAAAGCAAGAAATACAAGAACGCCAATAACTTCAAATTCTGTTGGGCGAAAAACAGAGCTGTCTGTCTGCGCAAAACGGAAACATCAACAGTCATAAAGCTAACAAGCCTAGACAAATTAAATGAACTGAGGGAGTCACGATAAGCTAAGTACTTCGAGATATTAGAGTTGCATTAAGCGGGGTAATTCTGAAAACCTTCTTCGCTCTATCGCTTAAATTACCTTAAAATGAAGTTACGCCGTAGAAATAAGGTCCAAGAAAAAGCTCAAAGATCAAAACTCAAAGAGCTGCCTTACTTTACTTTTAGAGGCAATTTAGCCCTCTTTCATGGCCAATTTAATAATTCGGTGTCCACTACTTCCCAGTGTAGGAGACATCTAGATAAATTATCCAGCTTATTTGATCTAGATCTATTTACTTATCTTGACAGGTCAATTAAATAATAACAATAACGATCATAGACAATGTCGATATTATCCCCGCATAGTTTCAAATTATTTAATAGAAAGCTATCCAACAGTGAGGTTCAATCCAGTTTTTCACAATAATGTTGTAAGCATTAACCACAATTTGGAGAATTCAACATTACTACTGGATGAACTCGACTTTCAATTTAGCTTAATTGGTGTCACAGAGACCAAAATTACAAATGAGAACGGGTCTTTTTCTTGCATACCGGGATATATTGTTGACTTTGTCCCAACACCTCTAGCATCTGGAGGTGTTGGCCTTTTCATTCATGAATCACTTAATTACACAGTTTTAGAAAATATCTCTAATGAAGCTTTTCAAGCCCTTGGATTGAAATATCTTTTGCAAATAACAAAAACATTGTCTGTGGTATAATATATCGCCAACACAATTCTCCAGATCAGTTCATGGAATGTATCCTCGTAAATCATGCAACTGATCCAGAGAAATTATTTTCAACTTTTTATAAGAAATTTAATAAGATTGTAAACAAACATGCTCCCATTACAAAGTTATCAAAGCGTCTCGCTTTGGTGTAAAACTTTGGAATGAGATGCCTTGTCATATTAGAGATCTTCCTAAAAAGAAATTTAGGAAAGTACTTTACAGATTGCTTTCGGATATCTTAAAGACAAGATGACTATATTGAGACGCCCTTAATAGTTGAAAAAGTTCGATTAATAGTTTAGTGATTTCTGTATTAAAGTATTTGTTTGTTTGCTTGTTCAGATTTAATGTAATTAAAATAAAACTGTGATAGAATATTATTTATTGTAACTTAAAATTGTAGTTTTCCTTCCTTTTCCTTTGAATTTATTTTTCTTTTAACTGTTCCGCCTAGATTAGCAATTGCTATTTTGCGAGCCAGTCTATTGTAACCAATAGTCTTATGAAATAAAGTTGAAGTTGAAGATGAAGTTGCCTTTCATCGACCCATCTCTGGATATGCCCTTTCATCGGTGCTATTTTGCGATCACAAATGTCCTTCCCTGACTGTGGGTCAGAGAAGTCAAATCTTTGAACGTGAATTCCTGCTCTTTCTCCAATAGATTTGAGAGAAGTAATTAATGAGGCATTGTGGTAGCAGCCTGCATTATCAGATTTAAGATAAGCCGTCGATACATTTTTGTGCTCTTCTTTAATAGTTGAAAGGAGGTGCTCCAGAATAGAAACAACAGAAAACCAGTCTTGGTGCAAGTATCGAAGACAGGAACGAAGGTTTCTACCGAGTGACTTTTACTACCAGACCTGAAAATAACACAAGCAACATACCAACTCTTCCCTCGTTTACCATAAAAGTCGCTCATTTGTTCTCTGTATCTTTTCAGAAGGTACTTCATGGCCCAGTCCATTATGATTAAAACGCTGTTGTCAGTCAATGCACTGAGAACGTCCTGCTTAGCTTGTTCTTGGTTAACAGATCGAAGAAGATGAGCTTTCCAATCGATGATTGCCTCCACTGCATGGGTAAGGTCAAACGCCACTTGACTCTGCTGTTAGTCTGTGAGAGTCACATTTGGACAATTTATCATGTTCGTAATGTTACTGAGAACTTCATCCAGTTTGCAGCAATAGTTGCATAATTCGTCGAGAGTGTGGTCGCACTGCTGCCTGAAGGCCTCGTTCTGAGGGTCACTGAGACTAAAATTTGTACAGTGATCCACGCATCTCTCCTCTTGTCCCACGTGACTTTTGTAATCGGTTTTCAAATATCGTTTGGTCTGCTGCAGCGTCTTCGACATCTCCCTAGCCTAAGTGCAATCAGCGTCTCCTTTCTCAAGAGTATTGACGACAATTTGAAGGGTTTCAAACGCTTGTGCTTCTTCCGTTGAAAAATAATCCAGCCCCTGCATTGATTTCTGCTTGGAAGCGGAACAAATGTCAATTATCCTGTACAAAGTTCGTTCACTTGCAGGTTCAAAGCCTGTTTCTTGGCAAAACGAGATGTATTGTCTTATTAACCGGGAGGAAACCATTGTCCTGATTACGTTTGGAATAGTGATTTTTTCTCCCGAATCAAGCTTCAGTTCCTTAGCGCCATAGGCAACGTCCTGAAGGAAATCTGGTCTGGCGATAAAGTTTACACAGTGGCTTGTCTTTACAGGATCAAGGCGTGTTCGTTTTATTGGTATCGGTACCACTTGAAGCCCTGGTCCTTCTTTAGCGGCATGACGCCGAGCACGATCGATTTGCCATTTACTAAGACCTGGAATCATCTCCCGGAGTTCCTGTTTCGAAAAATGTCTGGAAAACGTAGATAGAATTTGTAGTCGAGTATGATGACTTTCAGATTGGTTGTAAGCTTCAAGCGCATTTTCCTTAACATCATCGCAGGTTTTCTCTTGAATGTCATAGCCTGAAGAACTCAGCAGAGCTTCAAATACTTCATCTTCTTGATCTGGAGCAATTGTTGAGAGACCGCAGAGAAAATCTGGCGCACTTTTCGCAAATAATAACATTTTTGTGAGCTTGATGTACTTTCCCAGTTCGAACCCCCACATCAATTAAAACTGGCGTTGTGTATATTCAAGGGAGACGTTTTAGATAGAAGCTGTACGTATGTCGCAGGAAAGGCTGGATTTTGCAACCATATTCCAGCCTTGATGTTCAAAATTTGCAAGTATACCCTCTTTGAAGCAGAGACTACCAAGAAGCTACGTCAAGAAAAGGACGAGAATCCAGAGCTCGCGTGTACATCTCAGCTTCAAAGATGGCACAAAAAAGGAGGCGGCGAAAACATAGTTAGTTCCCCAGCCAGTTATGGAGGTTTATGTTACCAAAAAGAAGCTTGATGAGCCCAGTAGTTCAAGAAGATCAGGTGGTGAGTAATGTCTTCTTCATGAAGCCCGAAAGCAGCCACATTATGACCCCAAGAATGAGGCACCTTTTAAGACAACTTGCTACAATTGACCCAAACATGGGTTTTGCTCATTTGAGTAAAGGTAACTACTCAAGTGGTGAAACAGTACAGACAAAATATGGAGAGACTCCTGTTGGCTCTTTTCTACGCTACCAGGTGTCATTCACAGAGTCCAACCTTTCAGCAGAGGCACATTTAAATTTCAGTACCCCGAAATAATGTGCTTTCTGATAGCATAACGGCATATCCAAGGTTTCCCTTAGCCAATGAAAATCCTATGGTTACCCCTCGAGAACTGAGTAGTGAGGAAGCAGCTTTGTAATCAAATTTATCTGTGGATGAAGACAAGGTGAACACAACTGAAGCTACCTCAAGGGAACAATCAGAGTCTGGAAAAAGGAGCGCCTATCGATTCACTGTGTCAAGTTTTCAGCTGATCACCAGGCGGCAACGAAATCATGAGAGCTTTGCTCAATCGATTATGCATCCAAAGCCCTTTACTTCAAAGTATGTTGCTCATGGAATGAAGTATGAACTTGTTGCTCTCAGAGAGTATGAAAAATTCATGTTCAACGGGAAAACACCTGTCCCTGTACTTAAAAGTGGATTTGTTGTATCCGAAGCATTTCCTGTTCTTGGTGCATTACCTGATGCCAAAGTTATTGACTTTGGATGCTCTATTTGTTTCGGTTTAGCTGACGTGAAATGTCCTCATACCAAGTTCCACGTGACCCCCCTTGAGGCATGCTCGGACCCAAATTTCTTCATGGAGAAGATAAGTGACACACAATGTAGACGTAAAAGGGACCATGTCTACTATGGCCAGGTCCAGGGACAAATGGGTGTGACAGGTGCGAAATGGTGCGATTTTATAATGTACACTAGCAAAGGGATTTAGATTGAACGAATCGCACTTGATCCTGTCTACTGGGGTAACCTTAAGAATGAACTCCTGCAGTATTATTTTGAACATTTCTTAAAATTTTCATCAGCAGATTTTCATAACTCTGCTTAAAGTACTTTAAGTTAAGTTTTTATTACTTTACATATACTCTTTTTTCTAAGTTCATGGGCTAATTTTAATATTATTTAATACTTTGAGCCCTAATATTAAATAACTAGTGTTAAATTTGTCCTTAAAATTTTGTTGCTTTATTGAAGAAATCAATTATTACCAAAAATAAAAGAAGGAAGTAGTGAAGAATTTCAAATTTGATATTGGGTCTTTAAGGGTTAACTAATCTGTGCCCTAGTTGATGCAATAGGAGAACCAATTTACCAAGGTTCCATTGTGGCTTAATGTTCAAGTGGTTGTAGACATTATTGCTAAATGCTAATAACTCATAGTCTTAAAGGAATGCTGGTAGTCTCATTATTGTAAAACACCATGCATTATTCTACCTGTTTTTGCTGTGGGAACATTATAATCTGAAGACCAGAAGCACTGTTATTTGTTCTTTGATTTCCTTTATTGGTGTGTTCTTTCCAACAAGTTTATTAAATATGGAAAGTAAATGTGAATTTTCTAAGGTGAACATTAATGGTGACCATTGTCCAAAATTACAGAGTAGCATGACAGAAATACCAAAATGTAAATTTGTCAATACACAAAATAGTTTAAATAGAAATGATATTGGATTCGTTGTTGTATAAAATTGCACAAACTGCCCACATTTGATTTACAACACCAAACTGGTGGAAAGGTACAACCCCGTCCCAAATGTGAAAATTTTTTTTTTGTTAATTGCTCGCTCATCATGTATACGTAGACTGGCAAATTCTTGAGTGCAAACTACATCATTTGCTGGCATTTGTGCAGAGCTACCAAGGAAGGGCGGGATGTTTAGAGATACTCTCAAAGGGAGCAAATCCTGTATGGTAAATCCCTTGTCAGCCATGATAGAATCTTTTTCCTGGAATTGCAAATCTAACAATCCACTTCTTACTACTATTTCCTTTATCAGAAATGCTCCCAGTATGCAATTGGCTGATAAAAGTAATTGCTCCACCAGGAGAAATGCCAATCAACCCTTTCAGGGTTGTGTGGTGTTTGTAGTTGCTAAATAATTCCCCATTCAAGTGGAGACTACTGAGCATTTGGCATCTGACCTCAGAACAATCTATGATAACTCTGGTGGAGCTATATTTTTGTTTAAAGTCTTCTGGCATGGTCTCATTAACCTTCCCACGTGTGGGCCAAATGTTTATTTGACCAAGTTTCAAATACATAAAATTGATCCACGTTATAAAAATCCGACTGATTGTTGATAGTGAAACTTGAAAAAGATGCGCCAAATGTTCCTCAGCAAACCCTTGCCTCAGTCTGTACATGACTGCAAAACACTCGTCAACTGGTCGCAAGGATCTTGATGTTCCTCTTTTTCTGATTAGTTCGTCATTTTCACCCTCATACACTCCTGCTGATACATTCAAATTTAACTTTGAGACCCAGTAAGATATATTTTGCCCCTCATTTCCTGGATTTAAGTATTTGAAAACAGCATCAAATGTATCCCAGTTTGGAAAACCAGTATAAAACTTGATAGAGGAGTCATCACCTCTAAACCTATCGACTGTAAACATCTGCTTTTGAAGAGACTGAATGTGCTGATTTGCCTTCTCAAGTTTAGATTTTAGGTCAATTAATTGCTGATTCATTTCTGTTTCGCTGCTATCCGTGAACTCAATTTCATTTGTTTGCGTCCTCACATCCTGTTTGGTGATAGCATCAATATCACTCGTTTCACTTTCTTCGTTGCATGTAGCATTTTCTGTTTCTATCATTTCTTCTACCGTTTCAATTTCGGAAGGACCTGAACAATCGATGAAAACCGATGATCTGAAAATCAATCGATCAATCGATGACAATCGATTAATTACTGTTGATTAGCATCGATTGGCATCCGCCAATCGACGATCAATCGATAATCAGACTTAGGTGGTCGCGAACTTCATCGATTGGCACTAAATTCATGTCTCTGTATCTTCAGGTATTGCGGGAGTGTACGCAGATCGTATATCATTTTTAAACCTCAGCAGCAAAGTTTGAGAATTGCTCATTGATGTGGCTCCATGAAAAACAGCACAAATGATTAAGACAATTAACATACCTTGTTGTTACAGCGCTGTTGTTAGTACAAACTTGATCGATTTAGCTTCGAGTTCATTGCAAAGATTCCGCTGACCTGGGATGCAGTCGTCATTCAAACACGATTAAGCTTATTGTTATTTCTTTTTCTTCTTCTTTCAGGTCCACCTCGATCTTCCGTGTGGAATTCCCAAGAGTGATTTACTGAGTAGCAAAAAGTTATTCCAGGTGGGCAACAAAGGTGACAAGCACAGCAAACAGTGACAAAGCCTCGCAGAAGTGATTCTTGTTCCCAGGAATCATAGCGAGAGACATTCGCCTTTATTTAAAATATTATTTTTGTGCCAATTATTCTCCACTTTATTCTCCCATCAGGCCCTCCCACACAGTCAAAAAGTGCATATTATTGCTACTTAAATACACCACTTCCGGTACTGTATTAAAATGGGTTATGATTTTTTCATATGAACAGAGCAATGACACGAAATAAAATTTTAAAACCATTCGTTATGTTTATTTTGTTTATTCACTGCAGTGTTCACTGTGACTCAGGCTGACTGTACTGTCCGGGTACATACTTTCCCTCTTTTGCCAGCCTGCGATGGTTCTGAAACCAAATTGTAACCTGTGGAGAAAATAAAAATGTAAATAACCGCAGTAGTAGTAGTAGTAGTAATAGTAGTAGTAGCACTAGTCAAGAACTGTCTTCTTTTTACACTTTTCTGCAAAATGTCACACCTCTTTTTTATAAAGATGACTGCGAGCTACACGGGGAGCATAACAAACAATTGGCATTGTCAGAGAGCTGCTGCTAGCGTGTGCAGTGCAGGCCCTGTGCAAACTCAGTCAAGTAAATGGAAAGCTAGGCGAGTTCATCCGTTTTCAATGATCAGGGGGTGAATGATGTTGATCACTGTGTTACTTCACCTTCTGGTCCCTTTATCGTTTAGCTTTTCTCCCACATCTGCGCACCTCACACGAGTATCACTGCCATTCAAGAACAACTAAATTCCTTGGGATACTACTTTGCGATTTCATCGCGAAATAATTTTGAAAGTAGCTTTAAGTGTGAGGCTTGTCAAGTGACGTTAAAATGCCAGAATTATTTTCAACCCGTTTGGTTACTGAAACGTCACACTGGGGAAAAGACCCACCAAATAAAACCAGGATGGATATTAGATGAGGAAAACAACGTAAAAATGTCGAGACCAAAAGGTGAGAACTGTATAATTTTTATTACCTGGCTCTTTGTCAAGTCCGTCGACTCTGCGAGCTGTTCTGTCATGCTGGCAGACGGTAGGCTGTTCGAGGCCTTAAAAACAGCATGCATGCTTGAAGTTTTCACTTTCTGGAAAACCTCCCGTTTTTGAGAAGCTTGAGGGTGGCTGGTGCTGGCATCATCATTTGGTTTCTTTTGCCCTGTGAAAGTAGAACATGAAAAAAAAGAAGGTTCCTCACCGAAACCTGACGAAACTGCGACCACGTTGCCGCTTTTATCCAGTGTTTTGTCGCATGGTCTTCCCGAAAAGACAAAAAAAGTGACAATAATCTACTTTGAATTCAATGAAAACTCATTTTTAAAATTATATTACCTTTTATGATTTTTTTTTATCCAATAGCTTTTGCTGCTCTTCAGGGCTTGTCAGAAATTTTTTCATTTTTTGCCACGCCTTGTGTCCAGCGCCTGAAGGAAGCGCCTCCAGTGGCCCATTGAGAAGTGAAGACAGTACCTTGAGACCAGTTGATGACTTCTTTTGCAAAAACGGCAAACGAAACTGCGTTATCCCTCAGCCATTTTCTTAGATCATGTGCGATCGACACTGTGCTGACAACTTCTTCTTCTCCTCCCTCATTTTTACCAGTCTCGCCTATGTCTGAAACAGTAAACAGTGTATAACAATGAGTCAATTGATCAAATTTGGGCAGCATTTAATCTGTTGTAATGTCTCAGATTTCTACACAGTTTAATTCAGACTTAAATCTCATGTTAGTAATTTTTGACAAAGAGTATAACCGAATAACTTAGCTGGACATACCCTCACAAGTTTTCCCACAGCTTTGTTGGAGAAACGTTTTCAGATTTTCTTCTTCGCTGCACGGTATTTCAACTGTAATCTGGAAAATGAAGATGTTATTCTTCAAAATCTCGACGCCTGTATCTTGAATTTCAGCTGTGAATTTGCTTAATTCACAATAAAGTTGGAAAAAGACTTCTCACCTTCAGATGATGAGACATTTTTAGACCAAAATAAGGAAATCAGCAAATAAAAGTAGAGGAATTGACCTAAACAAGCGTGTAGGCGAATAAACTGAGCAGGACACTAATCGGTCGAAGTATTGTGACACTGGACGCACAGCTGGATGTGAGTGGCGGGAAAAGTAACAGGAAGCACTATATTTGACCATTAAGCATACCTGACCTTTGTAAATAACACGCGGCCTGGGCTAACCAGGATTCAGCTGCAACGTCTTACAAAGTTAGTTCCTGTAACAAAGTCGTTTCTGTTTTTTTTCAGGATGTTGCCAAATGACTGAATTTTTCTCTAAGACGAGAAAGAGTGCCTCCCCATCAACACCGGCATCAGCTACATGTAGAGCATCAACACCTCAATCATGTCCAGTTAGTCAAGGAAACTTGTCTGTGATCGACGAGCACCATTTTAAGACGGTAAGTAAATTATTGTTACTGATCTAAAGATGGAAACTGATAACCCCCGAACCCCCACCATCCCCCCCACACACCCACACACCCACACACCCACACAGACATTTTGTGAACCTGCACCCTGGTGATATCAACTTGAAAGACATGTTTCACCATTTTTGGCTGATTACATCAGATCCTGCGTGCATCGTAAGTGGTCCTTACTGTTCCAGTTTTCCTTTTAGATCACTTCTAATCTTAAGAGTCAAGCGGAAAAAGAGTTTGGGGCAAGACTTGGAAAGTCTTTAACAAAAGCATGTAGCTCCACCGTATCGAAACAACCCGCACCTCGTATTACTAAAACTACACACGACATTCCCATGGAGAAAATTGTCAGGGAAAACATTCGCAGGTGTGAGCGAGAGGAGATGGCTATGATAAAGGCTGCACAAAATAGAGTTTTTTCATGTGTGGCTTCATCGGCCACATCTGGAGAAAGCATTGCTACTCAAATTCTAGCTTCGATAAGAAGTGATGTTGAAAATGTCGAAGAGAAATCATTCTGGAAATAGTAGACGTTACGAGGAAAGAAATGGGTACAATGAATATCCAAAGTTTATTGCAAGATATGGTTGAACAGTGTGCTCTCCTAGATCTGTATTGTTCTAAAGTACAAGAATTAAAATTCGAGCTAAAAGACAAAGATAAGGTTATAGAGGAAATCAAACTAACTATGGAACAAAATAATGTAAATCGTGCTGTTCCTGACACAGCTTTGAAAATTGCAGCCATCGTAGAAAGTGAAGATAAAGACTCTGTGGTACTGGCTTCTTTACTCAAAGATTTAATTCAAAATCGAGGAACCCCAGTTAAGAGATGGTCAGATGCAACAAAATCTCTGTTCGCTATCATTCTTGATTATGGAGGTCCGGCTCTTGCCAGAATTGTTCAAGAAAAAATCGGCGGCCCGAGCCTTCAAACCATGTACCGCACCGCCAGATCTAATTACGCTATTCCGTGTAAATTGGAGGAGCAAGCCCTGAGACACGCGAGGTCGTTCTACGATACCATTGGTTATAATGGAGTTTTTGCACTAGCTGTGGACGCAACTGCAGTTGTTCCCACAACAAGAGTTAAGAAAAATAAAATAGTTGGATTGGCAACAGAACCCGATGTTATAGTTAGCTCTGCTCAAGATATACTAAATGTTGTGAAAAATAGGGAATACGAGTTGGCCAAACAAGCAAACGCATTTATCATGGCACCACTGCAGGATCACATTCTTTCTTTTGTACTGGCTGTTGGTTTTTAAAGGTCAAGATTATACACTTATCAGACATTGGTGTAACCAAGCTACTCTGTGGGGTGCTCCCAATAAAATAACAATCGTTGGACTTGGGGCGGACGGCGACTCTAAATTCAGGAAATACTATGTTGAACGCTTAAAAAAAACCCTAGAAGAAAAATGACATCATCGGTTTGAATTATGACTCGTTTGATTTCAACATTGTAGTGCAAAATTTTCACGGCTTGGGCGTCGATAATCCTGTCCCGACTGTTATGTTTCCAGACTGGAGACATCTTGTTAAGAAATGGAGAAATCAGTTGCTTAACGTAAAGCGCCTTCTCATTATTGGCAGCGGCATCGCTCAAATAGAACATTTGATGAAGGTCTTTGAGAATGACAGAATTTGGTCAGGTTTAAGGAAAAGTGACGTTTTTGTCAGAGATAAACAGAATGTTGACACTACCATGAGAATAATGAAAACAGAAGTAAGAGTTCGCATGAAGGACTGGAGTGACTCAGAAACTATTGGAACTAGAACCTATTTAAAAATGGGGCACTCCATGTTACAGTCCTTCACTGAAAAAGACTTGACTGTGTGCGAGCGCGCAAAGCTTGCATAGGTACCCGTAACTTTCTTGCGATGTTAAAGAGTGTGGCTGCAAATTTCGAACTACGATGTCAAAAAGCATTTCATCTCTCAGCAAACCTTTGGCTCGCCGGACATGGCCTTACACTAGCAATGAAAATGTTTTCCGTGTACTACCCCAACCACCAATTTCACCCCTGGGCATTCAGATCACAACGTTGCGAGGATTTCTTTACAAAATTGCGCTGCTTTTGCAGAGGAAAGCCAAACCTTACACTGCTGGACATGATCGACCTTTCCAGTAGAGTTCAAAAGTTAGAAGAACTTAAATCGCGCGGCGTCAATCCAGACATTCAACCACCGAACTGGCCTCAGGACATTGACGTGGAACTCAAAGAAGGAATGATGATGGCAGAGAGAGAGGTTCTAACAACACTGCAACTGATGGGGATGCTACCAGCTTTGGTAAAGGGTAACATCCTCAAAGAAGATGGTGACGACATAATTTGCCTTAATACACCAGGCTTAAGAACCTTTGCAGTATGGGAATCTCCTGATGAGAACGAGGTAATTGCCAGGGACGAGCTCCTTGACTTGGAGAGCGAAGTACTTCTAACAGCAATCGAAGAACGTTGTACTTCTTCCTCCAATGCCTTAATTGATTTGGCTGCAGCAACTTGTTTACATCAGTCTGAACAGGTAGAGTCGGAAGAGGAAGACGAAGATAGCCCTTCTCATTGTGCGTTGTACAAGGAAAATAAATGCAAGTATAATAATTCAACATTCAAACCTCCAAAAAAAAACATTGTGGATAGGTTGCAATTATCCTTGTTGTAATGCATGGCATCACGAACAGTGCCTATCCCTTCAGTTCACAGGAGATAAGGAAAGAGAAGATTACACCCTCATCTGTCCCAAGCACAAGGACATTAAAGAGCACTTTCGTAACAAAGTAACAGCTTTGTCAACTGACACAAATTCGCTGTCAGACGAAAACATAAGCCTACAGCCTATGCCAAAACAATTGCGTTAAACAAGAAAAGTAATGTGCCACAGACAATTGATTATTCTATTCGTCCAAATTACGTGGAGTATGAGGGTCAATTCTATCACATTCCCGAATTTCTGTCCTTACAGGAGGGCAAAGTATACCGTCCAGCCACTTCACGATTAGCACAATGGATGGAATCTGCCAGAAATGATTTTTACGAGCAAGTGGAAAGGCTTTTTGCGCCTCAACGGGTTGAAACTGGGACTTACCTCAGTGATATTGTTGCATTGTGGTTACCGTTAGAGGGACTGCATGTTGGACTTGTCATCAGAATTGTTCGATCACCTTCCTTGAAATCAAACTTTCCTGTTTTTGAGTGGCGTTCCGATTCTCAGAAATCTGAAAAGGTTACTATTTGTTTTCGAGTACTTAACTTTCTGAAGGAAGATTCTGTAACTTGGAAGTTACAAACCAGTAACAACTTTCACTGGTGTCATGTTCGTTCAATTTTAAAAGGGGTCGGAAAAGTAAGTATAACACAACGAGTATGGCCAGTCAATGTGGACTTGAGAGATGTTTTAAAGGATTTGCCACGTTTGCAGCTGATGGACAAAGAAAGAGAGAGGAAAGAAGAGATCGAAAAAAGACAAGAAAGGAAAAGGATGAAGGAAGGCAACCCAGAATGTATGACTGTTCAATTGTTGAAAGAGGTGCTAGAAGAAATGGGCGAACCTTACAGCAAAAGCTTGAAAAAAAAAACACAACTGATACAAAGGGTTAGAGCTGCAAGGGAAAAACAATTCTACAGCGTGTCTTATTTCCTCGGCAACCACCATGGCAAGTACTGTAAGTCAACCAAACACAGAACCCAGTGGAAACTTTTTTAGGAATTCTGCAGGTCACCTGAGCACAGATCCCAGAAGCGAGTTTACAACTGCGCAACTGACAATCTCCCCTTTTTCAAAGGAGAAGGTTTCAGCGACTAATGGAGATTCAGTTGCAGGATCGGTAACTGTTCTTTACTATTATGACGAGGAGAAGGAGAGAATCATTCATTTGCTCTTGGACATACTTTTTATATTTGACCTGATCAACATTTATATGGCAACATAACTTATTATTATGTGATTGCTGCACTTATGTCAATTAATGCTTTTCTACTTGGATTAATGTTACTATTGACCTGTTACATGTTTGCTTGAGCAAACGTTATCTCAGTTTGTAATGATGTTGATTCTCAACATGTGGTTGGTAATGTCCCCCTACCCATGATAGTGTGAAGCTTAATGTGTGAACTTCGGTTGACTAGAACCCACTTAACCTGTTCGTCTCTGTCGAATGGTTCGCTTCGTTTGCATTATGTGGTTTTCGTTGCCTTGTAATATAGCAGAGAATAGAAGTGTATTTTAACATATGTTTGATGAAGATTGAGGAAAAAATGTTGTGTATGGCAAATAGAGACGAAAACAGGATGACAAACATAAAAAAGGATATCTTGGAAAAGAAAGAAATGCCGAGAAAAGTTAGGGTTTCTTCTTAAATTTCAGGTTCTTTCTACTCTATAGACGTTTTAAGTTAAGTTTTAAAATTATCGTTGTTGTTACAAATAAAATGTCACATATAACAGAAAATGTGTCCATTAAATTGAACATTTTTTACGAATACTTATAGCTAAACTGTTGGCTCCAAACGTTACATCAAGCATAAAATATTTCACACCTCGCCTAATTTTCCAGCTGTTTCGTTGAAGCATAACAGTGGGGTTCGTTTTTCTTACACACAAATCCGTAGTACGTTTCTATGAATTTTAAACTCGCGCTAAACGTGTGGGCGAATAAACAAGTTTACGCATTGCTACTTGCTAGTTTTTATACTGAAATAAAAAGCAATGATATCAAAATGTGTAACTTTATTAGTACTCCATGAAATTGACAATTGAAATGTTTGACTGAATAGGTAATCGACTGATATTGCATATTTGATAATAATCTATTATGTTCATAGATCGATTCCCATCGATTGATATTGATAATCGATGATAATGAATAATCACAAAAATTTCCGTCATCGATTGTCCATCGATTATCAATATCAATCGATTAATTGATATCGATTGTCATCGATTGTCATCGATTGCCATTGATTATCAATTGATATTGATAATCGATGATAATCGATAATCACAAAAATTTTTGTGATCGATTGCCATCGATTATCAATTTCATCGATTGTTGAGGTCCTGTTCGAGTCCAAGGAAACAGCGATGGAACGGCATTCAATCGCAGATCTCTCCTACCGCTGAGCGCCTTGATAAATTCATACTCTCTAAAATGCCTTGAGCAAACTTTAGTCCATTCTTGTATCTGAAAATACACTCCCTCATCTCTTCTAATAGCGTGAATCCATTTTGTCCGGTGAAGTGGATCATCTGGAAACTTGAAGTGAGAAAGTTTTCTCCCATTTTCGTTCAGATAACCTTTCTTTGTACATTCAGCAGCAGCTCGTAGGCATTTTTCTTCCGATCAGCGATTGTTTAGCGATAAATTTCCCTTACAGATAGTGAAGATTTACCGAATTGCTACTTTTTTACGCCAAAGAAACTAAAACAACTCGACAAGCCAAATAAATTTGGGAGGCATTTGCATGTTTTTTCCACACGACCGCTTTCGGAGATAAATATTCAATTCAAAGTAGACAGACTGCAAATTATCTTAGTTGCTAAAAATATATATCTATGTGTCGCAACTGTTCATCAGTAGGATGCCTAAAATGCGTGCAATTCCACAATTGGTTTTGGCTCCATTAAATCCTGTACCAATTGCAGAACATTTTAGGAGGAGCCACCCACCATGTGAGCACAGTCACGGACAATGTATAAGTGAGGAAAATAACGCAAAGTAAAATTAAGACGTTAATAAACGAACTAAATGTACGCGTCAATTAAATAAATAAACAAATAATGCGTGCGCTCAAAATAAAATTGTACGCGCACAGGTACCGAGATACATCTGAAATACAACACTATGCAATAAATAGGTAATGTAAGGATGTGATGGTGCAATTCAAGCCTGGATTGCTAATCTCATCTCCCGCAGGGCTGCACCATACTTCTCGACGATAAGACCATGGCGACTGAAGAATTTATTAAATGATTTCTGAAGTAGATTGCTTTCAAAGCCTTGCTGTCTGAGTCGTAATGAAAGTCCACGGAGTCTATTGATGAAGTCAACTTTGGACGTGCAAATTCTAGCATATCTCACGAGTTGAGATATATAAACACCGTAAGCTGGATTGGCGGGAATGTTGCTGTTCATATGAAGAAAGTTGACAATCCGAAATGCAAAGTCCTCTCTCTTATCGTAGATGCTGATACGGAAAGGTGTGTTTTCGCCAGTCTTGATATTAGTGTCGAGATAACACACTTCAGTAGATGATGTGGAAGTGTCCTTAAGTTCCAATTCCGACGGGTAAATTGCGCTGATGTAATTTCCAAAGTCCACATTGGTAGCACTGAATAAATCGTCCATGTACCGAAAGGTGTTGCTGAATTGGATGGCTTTTGTAATATCCTGTTTCATTGTTTTGACCTTACTTGCCTCGCTCTGATGTGGTTCGTTCCCACTCCACCCAAGCGGTCCGCCATTATGAAAGACGTGTATGGCGTAACGTAGCGTCGAAACGTCGTTCACTTTTTAAAATGTTTTTAAAATCTATTTTAAAAATCTTTTAGCGTTTAACTGGAGGATCAAATCATTTCATGATTGAAACTATTAAGAATTTACATTTTACAATCAATATTTTGGAACCTCAAAAAGAAATTAAAAACAAGAACCATATAATCTTGAAATAAGAGCAGTTACGCTAAATTTGACCACTGTCTTAAAACAATACCCCATTACCTTGAAATGATTTCCCAAGTCTCAAAATGACAATAAAATCAAGAATTGCATTCTTAAAACAAGTTACCATGTTTTTGATTTAAAAAACCTACTTTTAGAGTGATTAAGTTTTGCTCAAACTGCGGTACAGAAACTGCGACGTCGGCGAACTTTTGCATTAAATAGAGAGTGTTAGCATTGACAACGAGTACGACTACGAGAACGAGATTTTACCATTGACTATAATGCGCATGCGTTCTGCTCAGAACACGTGCTCAACTCGTTCTGGCAACTCGTTCCACGACGAGATTTCCTCCAAAACTCGAAGTGCGAGGAACGAGTTTTTGAAAGGTAAAGTTTATCTTTTGTAGGGGGTTATCTCTGTCATAGGTGTATCCCATAAGCACTTAAACTCTTCATCGAAGGCCTAGGATGGCATTTTTGGGCATTTTTTTGTTTTGAATAGCACATTAATCCTCCTTCCTTTCTGTCAACATCGTGTCAAAATTTTAGACATGCGAAGCTCTCATGGTCTCCGTCTAGCGTGCTCATAAACTTAACCTTTTTCGTTTTTTTTACAGCTTCTTTCAAGATAAATCAACCAGAGACGTAAGTTTTACTGTTTCTTTAATTATTTTTCATTCACATCATTTTATTTCTTACAGAGCATAGTCCGTACGAACCAAGTTTGTCACATCAAGAGGTCGCATTGTTTACATAAACCTAAGAATTACGGTCTCACATTTCAAAGTTTTTATGCCCTGTCTATGTTTCAGGAAAAGAAAACTTTTTATATGGAAGCGTCAGCATGATTCTTGTCTTTTACGTGAAGTCTTACATCTAGAACCCTACAATCAGAAACAGTCAGATAGAGGGAGAGTGTGGAGAGTAATTGCAGAGAACCTGAATACCAACACGCAGCACGATTTCAAGACAACAGATCGATCGTGTAGGGATAGATTTAACAAGCTTATGGAGGAATTCGAGAAGAAAGATCAAGAAGAAAAGAAAGCCTCAGGAGTAGATGCCGAATCATTTGAAAATGGCGCCTAAAATGACAATACTATCCCAAAATATTTTTGTCGTGAAGTCGTACTCGTACGTCCTGCTTACACATTTTTTACAAGACCGACAACGAGTACGAGTACGAGATGGACTCGTTCTCGTACTCGTACTCGTTGTCAATGCTAACACTCTCTAATGTGGACAAGGTAACGATTTACTTTTTATGTAGTATATACTGAGCGTAGTAATGGCGAGACATCTGGCTGTATTTTTGGTTTATCTCCGGAGATCTTTCTCCATCTTTCAAGCTTAACATGGTGCTCTTCTCCTCTCATTTGGAAGGTTTCTGTCGAGTTCTTAATCCTGTGTTTCCAAGGATACTAAAGGTCATATTTTATTTTGTTATCAAACTAGTTTGGCTTTTGGCTTGTTTACGCACTATTTCTACTTTTATGGCCGGGAACATTTTTCCCGTTCTTTTTTATTAGTGCAGCTATCTAAGCTTCTTGTTTTTCGTGTGTGGAAGGGGAAGGACTGAGATGGGGTCTTTGATCAGAAAACAACTTTTTTTGAGTCAAAATACCCAATCTTTGGACCAACTTTATTGTTCATATTCCCCTACTAGGGACTAATATTTAAAAAAATTAGGTGGGCTGAAAAACTGCATTTACACCAATTCACCCAGTGGGGGTCAACCCGAAGTTTTGTACGGGAAGGCTTCACCCCTTACCGTTTCATAGTGGAACTCTTGCACCCAGTGGTTTACCATGGGTAATAAAATTTGGTTTGGACGTCCATTTTGTGATCATTATTGACAGGAGTCAATATCGTGTATTCGCGTAATAGTTGAATTCCTTTTTGTAGAAATGCTTCCTGTGAGCTTCACCTACAATCGGCAACAAAATTGTTTAGACACCGACCTCAAATGGAGTACTTCGATTTCAGGGAAGGAAACAAATTTCACCCCTCCTCCCGCCTCCATTGTTTTTCGCACAGGTGGCTATAATGTATAAGGGTGCAAAATTCCTTAGAGGGGATAGGGAAAAGCACAGCTTTAGGGAAAAGTGTGTCAACTAAGTTTGTATAGTCAAAACGCCTGTCAGTTATTTTACAATAACAAAGTAGATAAGCAAACTGGTTGTCAATTAATTGCAGATGCCTCCTTCAAGGAAGACACTCCCAAACCTATTAAATTGTTTGACTAGTACAGGAAGAACAAGGGAAAACAATAGAACACTAAGTGTCAGAAGAACAAAGGAAAACCCAAGGAAGAGGAAGTGACAATTGCAATAGGTTTGTTGGAATGGAAAGAAAAGAGGTTGAAACCAGCAAGGGGGAAAAGAATTGCTCTTAGGGTATCCAACAACGCTCCATGCACACAGATACTTTCTAAAGCAGTTAAAAAGTGGAAGGCATATCATAGTGACCTCTACATAGAAGATGAAGAGTACCTCCTTCTATTTTGAAAGTGTCAAGCAAGCCCAGTTTATACCTGAAACGGTTGAATTTTTCACCCTTTCGAGGTATCAAGAGGAAATTGGAAAGGATTACAAACGAATTGTCTTGTATCTCTGCTCACAGATGGATGGAAACTCTGCTGAACACGGATATGACTCCACTGATGATGAATATTCAGCTGAAGAAGGTAAAGCAAAAAGAGCTAAATTACAGATCAAGAATGACGAGGAGTTGGCAAGAAAGCTGCAGCTTGAATTGGCAAAGATGTAGATGCTGGTGAATTTGTTGATGATGGTAAACGTGATGGTAAATCCTTACCAGATGTGGCAATCATGTTGCCCAGTAGTGAAGTTACTCTGGATGTGAAAATCCAGGAGAACTCCTCTATTCCTGGCACTACAGCTACGAACAGTGCAGCTGAACCTGTCTGCAATGAAAAGCATCCACTACTGTTTTTAACTTGCGAAGATATGCTCAGATCTCTTGCAAGTGGCTTAGATGATTCTGATGAGTTTTCCATTGTGGTACGGAGAGGCTCATCTTTCCAGCGGCAGCTAAAGATATGGCAACAGGAATCAAGCAAAAAGTCCCCTGAAAAAAATGCTGAGAGTGCACTTTGCAGGGGAAGATGGCATTGACACTGGTGGTATGGCTCAAGAATTTTTGGCCAATTCCATAAAGGATATAGGAAGAGAGTTTTTCCCTAATGGTTCCCCCATTGTCTCCATGTTACACGTTCATAATGTTTTTTTTGACTTGTGGTTAGGGATTGTCGCGGTGAGCCTCATCCAAGGAGGACCTCCTCCTCAGTTCTTAAACGACATCAATTGTAACTTGCTCGTCAACCCACTGCAAGATCTCAGTGACTTGCAACTAGACGTCCACCTGACAGATCATGAAAGGGCAATCCTTACACAAGTAAGTAAAGATCCAATCGCTCATCAGGATGACATACTGCAGTATGGCTACAGTGGCATAATAGACACTGACCATGTACATGACATAATTGGCACGATAATGGTAAGCCTTGTAAGGAGAAGGTTGTTGCTTCTTAACGAGTTCAAACGAGGGCTTGAACTATTTGGTCTAGCAAGTGCCGTAGCGTCAAATGCTTCCTTGTGTAGGAGCCTGTTCGTTATCGAGTCCAGTAACATTACTGTTGATGCTAAATACCTGGTATCCTTGTTAAAGCCTTTGTATTCATCAGAAGGAACCTCTCGAAGAACAGTTGAAGAAACCCTCATATATAACTTTCAAGATTTCTTGATGGGGCTGGAAGACGAAAAGATGACTGGGTACACTGAGATGATAGCATGGAGCTCTCATGATTACCTTGAGGACGAAGAACCACATCAGGAAGATCCAGTTAACCAGTAAGTAGAAGAAGAAAACCCCCTGTTCTTCCATTCTGCAGAACTAACACCATCAGGCGTGTTAGGGTGGTTAACCGGTCAGAGGCACAAGCCAGTAAATGGAGACGACCTTGCAATCACAGTAATGTTTAATTATGACTGCATTGAGAAAAATCCAAACCACAGTGTTTGTTTCCCAGTTGTCTCTGCCTGTGCTAAGGCGGTGACACTTCCAGAAACCATATGAAGGAATCCGAAGATTTCACCTGTACGTTTCTTCTAGCGTATTGCAAAGGCCAAGCATTCGGGTGGCGATAATTGGATTTCTAGTCAAGTAGAGTTCTTGTAATATGACTTGTTTAACACCTGACATATTTAAGGTTTTTGCCTTTTTTAACATTCCCTCCATTTTGCTGGTAAAAACATTTTAGCGCCAGTCGTCCCTACTAGCGATGCCAACACAAGCATATGCACTAGCCTAAGAGTTACAACAAGACGCAAGCATAAGCAAACATAAGTGCAGGAGTATGCATGAACACGAGCAGCTTTAATGCGCTATTTAGGACACTATTGATATAAAAATAAGCATAAGAAGAACACAATGTTCTGGTATTCATTTCAACTTATGCTTATGTGATGACCTTCCTCACTTAGACTACAAGCGGTCTCTCTTTTTTCTTGGTCCATGGAGCAGAAGGTGCAAGACACACAAATGACCACGCATGTGACTGAAGGTGGCTTCTCCCAACGCTCACAGTCTAGTCCTCACTAGCATACAAGCTTCTTATGCTCACGCTTATTACTCAAGTCACTAGTGAGGACCATGTTATGCTTATGCTTTCATCGCTAGTGAAGACGGAGCTTAAATAATGTAAATTACCTGGTTAAAGTAAATCTTACGTTGTGTTGAAGAGTCTTTTTTGAAATTGGTAAGCCACAATCGGTGCCAAGGTTACTTGTGACAGTTTGTCGTCACTATTTACATATTGACACTATCTACAGCAAAAAGGAAAAAGTAACCCTTCCCTTTGCCCTACATGTAGCTAAACAAACAAGGTACCTTTGGGTTGGGGAAGGGAAGGGAAGGGATCCTGTTTTTTCCAAAATGCACCCCATCTAACAACACTGTCTCGCTAATTTTGTTGCTGATTGCTTGCATGAAGTATTTACATACAGGCAGACAGTTTCATTGGCATGTTTGGTTCAGTTCTGTAAGTTATTTATTACAATTTAATGGCAGTAAGTAAGGTAAAGGCCATAAGGACGATTTGTAAAAGAGTTACAGCGACCCCATATAAAAACAGATCACCTTATTTAAAATAAATTATGATACAAAATATAAAAAAATATATATGTATGTATATATGTAAACAAAAAAAATACCAGTAGCAGTGACATTACTTAAAAAAATACAAGCTAATATATATTATTTACATTTCAATAAACATTTCATAACTTTGGATTTAAAAATGCAGACATTTGAAGCAGAGCGGATCTCATACGGCAGAATGTTCCATTTATCCACTATCCTATGAAAGAAACTGTTTTTAAGTACATTTGTCCTCGCAAATCTCTTCTTTAATGATCTATTATCAAAGTGTCGAAACGAGTAGCGATCCTCTTGACAATAAAAATCCAAAAATTGAGAAAAATCCACATCCATATAGCCATTGAGGGCCTTAAACAAAAAAGTGACATCAAATGAGAAACGTCTCTGTTCAAGGGTTAACAGCTTGAGCTCTCTTAAACGAATATCGTATTGATCATTGGATTTTAGAATAAACTTGTTTGCCCTAAGTTTGTCTATGTTGTCTATGTTTCTCTTTGTGAAAGGAGACCAGACAACCGAACAGTATTCCAAATTAGATGTGACAAGGGAACAAAACAAGGTCTTTAAAGTGGCTGTATCCTTGAGATCCTTGCACGTTCTTTTTATTAGGCCCAGCATTCTGTTTGCCTAAGCGGTAATCATGTCAGTATGAGAGTTCCAGGATAAACTGCAATCAGTCAATATTCCGAGATCCTTAAATTCTTTAACCTCTTCAAGAACGGTATCATTCATATACACTGTTAGTAAAGGGTACTTGTTTCCTATTAATTCTCATGATCTTACACTTTTTAGTGTTGAAGTCCATCTGATTATGTTGGCTCCATTGATGGAATTTGTCTAGGTCCTCTTGGAAGTAAATCAGATCTTCATCACAGTCAATGACTCTAAACATCTTACTATCGTCTGCATACAGTGCAATGGTATTATCAGAACAGACTACATCTGGCAAATCATTGATGAAGATTACAAAAAACAGTGGCCCAAGGATAGAGCATTGTGGTACACCGGAAGTAATTTCCGACAAAGAGGAAGAATAACCATCTATGACTACTCTCTGAGTTCGGTTATTAAGGTAGTCTTTACACCAGCTCAGCAAAGCTGGCGCAGCAAGACATTATGGGGAACAAGATCGAAAGCCTTAGAAAAATCTAAAAAGTCTACGTCAACTTGGTGTCCCTCATCAAGTGTTTTTGCCCAATTATGATGAGTCAAAATTAGTTGTGTAGCAGTAGATCCCCCTTTAACAAAACCATGCTGCCAATCAGATAGATAAGCAGAGACATGGGAATAAATTGCAGTATGAACTATACGCTCCTGACACTTTCCTTGAATAGACAGAACTGAAATAGATCTGTAATTTTCCACAAGGTCTCTTTCATTTGCTTTGAAGACCAGTGTAATGTTAGCAGGCTTCCATTGCTCAGGGACTCTCCCTAGACTAAAGGACCTGTTAAACAAAAGGGCTAAAGGTGTAGATAATTCTTCGGAACAAGCTTTGAGAATACGAGCAGGGACATTATCTGCACCAGTTGCCTTGGTTATGTCAAGATTTTGTAAAATTTCCTTCACTTCATCTGCCGTAGTCTTTATGCACAAATATAAGTTTGGATTAACAACATCTATAAAGGAATAATTTCTCTCGACGAATGGAACAGAATACACTGTACGAAAAAATTGATTCAACAATTCCACCTTTCTTGCAGGATCTGTGGATTGCATACCATTGTAACGGACAGTTTCAGGAATCTTTCTTCTTTTCGACTTGATTAAATGGAATGACCAACATTGTTTAGGATCTTCCTTTAACTTCACAGACAGAGTTTTTAAGTACTGTAGATAGTTTGAGTGAATAAGTTTATTTGTCCTCTTCCTTAATTCCTTAAATTTCAAATATCATTCGTCCCCACAGTTTTCTCTTTTTTCTTATGAATTTCATGATCACATTGCTTATCCAAGGAGGCCTTGATCGACAATGAAGCATTACCTGAGGTATAAATTGATCAACAGTGGAAAAGAAAATGTCCTGGAACCTCACCAGGTTTCAAAATTCACTCGCGCGACTCTTTCTCCTGGGGTCGTATGGGAAACACGTACGTTTCCGACTTGAATATTGTTCTTTAATTAATTTTATCATCAACGGATCTCTTCCTCTGTCTGCTTTTCGCTATAAACAAGGTTTAAAGGGTCTGTGCGCAGGCTAGGAATGACCTTGACTTGTTAAACTGACGACCGCAAATAGTTTTATTATAAAGGAAAGCTCCCCTTGTTCACAAGTATCAGCTGTAACTCACGTGCAGATTATCGGAGAACCATTAGGGACGGACCATTAGAAAACTTATGTGGGGGGGCGAAGAACAAAAAAAAAAACGTCGCGCAAGGGAAATTTTAATTTAAAAAAAATTCTTGCACGCCAATTAACCCTAAGAAATATTCATGTAAGGGCCTGAAAAAAATTCATACTAGGAATTTGATAAGGAGAAAAAATTCCTGCGGCTCGAAAATTCCCCTTCCCCCCCCCCCCATAACTTTTCTAATGGTCCGTCCCTTATGCGCTATTGAAGCCAAAGTGTTGAAAAGTCGAACACGATCTACTTGGTTGTAGGAGGGTTGAGTTTAATACGAGCCAAAAGAACGTCTGAGGCGAGACACTTCGTGCTGGATGCGTAAGCTTAGATAAAGAGTTCAAAATGAACCTCGTTGATGTTACCAGGCTTTCTAACGGTCCGATTACCGACCTGATCAGCTGGCTGCAGCGTGAAAAACTCATTGCTAATCCCCTTAGATGTTTACCGTGTAATAGAGGAATGGTGTTGGCCGAGAGAGATGCAAACCACGTCGATGGATATCTATGGTAAGGTTTACGTTAGAGTCATCAGGGCACAAGTCATTTTTATCACTGGTATTTGTTTTCGTGATTTGTTTGGTCAATTACTGTATATAAAAAGAATCGAACGAAAGGAACCCGGCCAAGTCCCGGATTTTTGATTCCACGGCGTGGGTAGCCTGCGAGCAAGCTCTCCTATTTAGGCGAGTGAACGCGAGAAAGCGCGAAAGCAAGGGGAAAGCCGCGAGGGGCTTGCCGAAATAGGAGATTTGCTCGCAGACTACGGCGTGGATTCCAGATTCTTCCGTATGGATTCCCAATTGTAAGTGGGACTTGGACTGCTGATTCCAATCGTTGGTAGGATTGAAGATTCTTTGGGCTGTATCCTGCATTCCAAAGTCTAGGATTCCGCATGCAAAAAAAAAATTCCATATTTAGGATTTCACATTTAGTCCCCCCCTCACCGTAACGATTCCTGTCTTTAAATCTTAAAGAGGCTAAGAATTTTGGTTTTACTTTTAAAGGAGATGCACTGTTTGTCGTCAAAGAAATCTTTCTTGTGAAGGAAGTTTCTTTGCTGAATTTCCAAGGGTTCCTCTTGGAAAACTCGTACTGTTGATATACTTATGGAGTCTTCACGAGTTATGCTCTAAATCAGCTGACATGGTCGGATTGACCCGAAACACAGTTGGAAACGTGTTTGCCATGCTAAGATATCTTTGTAAAAGGGATCTTCAAAGCAGACCAATTACACCATTTGGCGGACGTGTTTTCGTGGTGAAGTGTGACGAAAGTCAATTCAAGCACAAATCGAAGGTGATGAGACAACAGAATTTGATCTTTGTTTTGAATTGCACCAGATTATCCCGAAAAGCGTGTTTCGGATAGATTTATTCAAGTTCAGCCAGCCAAAGCCCACTGAAAAGAAGCGCTGTTTCTGTCCTGCATAGCTGGCGGGATAAGCGTTTCCGATTGGTTTCGGAGCAGAGATAGACCGAGGAACGGGATTTCGGTTTTGGCCGCGCGAGAAAGAAAAACAATCCTGCTGCGTTGCTACGTTTTTTTTTTTTGCGTTCTTAAGAAAATGAAACGAAAATGTAAAGGGTGGGAGTTGTTAGTGAAAGACCCCGAGAGAACGTAAGTAATGCCCTATTGCTGCCTCGACTCTCTCTCGCTCGTCTCTTACGCATGTTACCTTTTTCTCCACTAGCCTGATATCATCTAAAGTTTTAGTTTAAATTTTACCCACTTTGGAAATAGCAAGCTATCACTAACGGCCTCCTTTAACAATTTGTTGTAGTACGAAAGAGGACAAAGGGCAAGAGATGATGTTTGGGTCTTCGGAGTCATCTCGACGGAATATTCTCCCTGTCGGGGTTAATTCTGTGTCGTGGAAAGACGAGACAGAGCAACTCTGACTCAAATTCTTCAGAGAGTAACTCCTGCCTGGCTCAGAAGTACATAGTGACGACTGGGCAGCGTACAAAAACTTGCATGTACATGTTCCCAACGTAACAGTGCATAGAACAGTCGTCCACCGGGATAACTTCGTGGATCCCGTCACAGGAATTCACACTCAAGAAGCCGAATCAGCATGGGCGCGTCTAAAGTACCACATTAAGAAGGAAAAAGGAATCCGCCATGGAGATATACAAGATTTCCTAGACGAGCAAATGTGGAAGGATTGGCGAGGACTGGATGCTATATTTCAGAATGCCATCATTTTAATTTCCAATCATTACCCTCTTTAGTTCAAACGAAATTTTCAGTCGGTTTTTTTCTTTCCTTTTTTTTTCATAGGCTTTCAGCTTTAAAATATGTAGGCTTTTTGTAAGCTTATTTTTTTTTACCCATTTGTAATGAGTTTTTAAAATTTAACCAATTTCGCCAGTGCAATTGTTGTTTCTGCTCGATATTGTAATATTGTAACATTTTTGAATGTGTTAAACCTTACAGTATCCTGAAAAAAAGCCGGTCAAATCAATCTTGTCCGATCAGTGTAAGTGTTGTATTGATTTAACCCTTTTGCTGGCCGTAGAATAATAAAAAAGAGTTTGATCTTACTCTATGAGAACTTTTGTTCGTCAACTGCGTTTATTTGTGGCCAAATGACCAAAAAAGTAGTTGTGATAAAGCTTTACGTTAAAAATGCTAGTACATGTATTATGTATGCAGACGCGCGACAAAGAAGGGTTGAGGGTACCTCTAAATTTAAGCAGCTTGCGCGACGCGCCTATTAAAGTTAACCACACTCTGATATCTATCTTGCATACAAAATTCACGATAGCTGAACTAGGAAATACCGATATCAAGCAAAACATTCTCTTGGGGCCGTCCAGGGAATAAATGTACAGCAATTGTTGCCAAATGTGCTCAAAACAGTTTTTATTACTTCTGTCTTTCTCTGGTTTTTGATTAAAAAGTATCAAAAAGAGACAATTTTGCAAAAGAGTTAACAAAAGAGGTAACTTTGCTTTATAGCAACAGCCATATGGCCTCTTGTTTAGAGATAATAAGAGAGATAACTCTGCAATAACGACTTTCTAATCTCGTGCACTTGTTGATCTAGAGCTAGTTCTCTTCTATCATCTTCCGAGATCTGAGCACTAATAATGGACGAAATTTTTCATGGCCTATCACTACTATCATCTACTACTCGTTACGACATCAAAATACTAAAACACTTGCAGTGATAGCTCTCGATGGCGGCTCCTGGTTTCACTTGTTTTTTCGTTTTTTGTTTTTATAATTTTACGTTTATTGACAAAACACATATTACAGTTGTGGTTTCACTTGACCCAACAAGATCCCCCTGCCTTCCCTGCTCCGCCGCCTTAGTATTCTTGACCTTTCTTGTCGGAGCCATCAGTTTATAGCATGATGATGTGACCTCATTTACATGTTCTGTCCATTTAAGATCCTCACCAAGCCGAGTTCCTAACAACTTAAATTTCTCGCCCCGGCATGGTGGTAATAACCATCTGCTTAGTCTTACTTCATTCAGTATTACCACACTCATTAACCATGCTCAGACTCTGGCGTGAGTCTTTCAAAGAAGGGTCAGCGTGTTCAGAGGTGAACCCAGCGAGTACCATAGTCGGGTACAGTATTCGGAAAACACTAGTGAAAACTGTCTAACTATCTGTCAAGTATATTTTCCGAATACTTTTTCTGCATTGATAGGTCACTTTTCTTCTTTTTCATACTTCCCCATGCTTGGCCCCTTTCTCTGAACTTAATGGCGTGTCAATGCCGCATTTCGGATGTGCGTGTGCCAGCGAACATTGGCAAGAGTTGTTCCTACAATTACTCGAGATAAACAAACATCTATTAGCACTCAACTTCTGGATTAATCTAGACACCAGGCTCCTCCGCAAACCAAGAGCTATTATGGCTCTTCCGCAAACTTTCACCCACTCGTGCTCTTCAAACCTCTATGACCGGGTACTCATTAAAGTAGTCTCATACAGCACCCTCAACCTTCGCGGTCTTTATATTTTATCTCAACGAAACGAATGAAGGTCGTATCCACCAACATTCTCCCTACCTAGAAAATAATAACGCACTGGAGGCACGCACAGGATTGCCTTCTTCTGTTTTCCCTACTAATCGTCCCAGCGTGGCCTCCCTGTAAATCAGTTGTAGATCCATTAACCTGTCCATACCACAGGCAACCGTCGGAGATACACTGAAACGCTTGGTATTCTAACCGTGTCATCTCATATCTTCATCTTCTCTTTTCTTGATTCCCTCTTCGCTTGGATTCCACTCGAGCTAAACTGATCTTCCATTGTCGTATCGGACTATGCTCATGATCAAGCTTGTCAGTGTACTTTCGGTTTTGCAGCGAAAATTATCAGCTCATCGAAAAATGGCAGTTGTCGTTACCGTGAATCTTCTATTAAGCTTCTCCTCTCGAAAAACCCCCTCTAATAAGGCGGACTGTCTTGGAGTCTTTTGGATGCATGTCGAGATCAGTTTTGTACTGTAACTTGGCAATTGCATTGGGCAAAGAAACTTCAATGTTGCACGATTTGCTTGTTTGATTATGTTTGCTCGACTCGATCTGCGCCACTCATACTCATCCGTTCATGTTAAAGTAACAATGAAGATAAGTTATAACACTGGGATAGAAGAATAAAGAATAAATCTTCGAAAAGTCAATAGTTCACACAGGGGCGTAGCCAGCCCATAGACCTGTCGGCCCCAGGCTAAAAAGTTTTGGTTTGGTCACTCTACCGCTTGTAATTAAGTTATTGATTAGGGTTTGATTGGTCTTTTGTCTTTCATTTGTCCTTTCTTTAGCAAAATTCGCCGGAAATTTTAAAAGTGATGAACGTACAGGAACCACTTTTCCTTCGATTCTGAAAAAGTCAGGTAGAAACCTCGCCTAGTTAAGGCCAGCCAGCTATTGTTTCACGTACTGGTATGAATTGACAACGGCTTCCAAACGACGAAATACAATGGGGAAAATAACATTAGCTTTAAACTGCTTTGCGCTTTGGCAGTATAGACAAAACTAGCCTATTAGATAACTATATATGAAGGAGAAATCTTGTATATTTTAGTTTGCGGCTCGGCAATTTGACCGGTTCCGTTTGGTTATAGACCGGTTCGGTTATGGGATATTATTAACATAAATACCAATTAATTGATTAATGCCTTGACCCTTTTTTCAAATTCTCTCGACTAGAGAAAGGTGTGGACATCAGTCAGAAGAAGATATTTTTATTTTTAGTAACAGTAGTTCCTAATGATTAGCCTGCGGGGTCAGGGGCACTCAGCGACTGTTTTATGTAAAACGTCTGTTCGGAGAAGCAAACGCATAAATTATTACAAGCGGTAGAGTGATCAAATCAAAGATTTGTATGCTCGGGCCTACTGGTCTATGGGATAGCTACGCCCCCGAATGAGTATATCTTCTCTACTACTGTGTCCTCTTGTAAGCCACGATTAGGTCAAATCAATCGTGTTAAGCATGAATTTGACAAAAACGCTTTGATTGTTATCATAAACGCATTAGTTTTTAGTGCTCCTCTGTTTGGATCAACACCACCCAATGTAATCTGGTCAAACTCCAAGCACGGTACATAATTTCGCCTGTAGAATGGAAAGCAGAGCTGGAAAATCCGATCACATTACTCCCTCGTTAAAATGCTTGCACTTGTTCCCAGTCAAGCAATAACTGTACTTTCGAATTGCTGTTTTAGTATTTAACTTTTGCACGTGACCGGGCGTGTTTCACTGTATTTAACATCAAAGTTCGTAGAAAGAGTAATGACATGGCAGCATCGATTTGTAAGGAGCGAATTTTGAGATTTCTCTGTATGCTACTCAGGACAAGGCGCAAGCCCTACGTAACAGCTTTCCTTCAACCTTCATCGCGTATCGTAAACAGAATCAGGTTATTGAGAAAAAGACCTACATTAAAGAAAAAAAAAACAAAACAGCCATTTTAGCATTTTGGGAGATTGCTGGGAAAACTTTATCTGTTCCTCACTCCCAGAAAGTCTGATGGACGAGTTCCCAGCCAGCAAGGTGCACCTACAACCTATAAGACATTGGGTTTGGTCTAAGGACGAAATTAACCCCTTCCAAGGGGAAAGGGGGTCTGAAAAATAGCACATACCAGCTAACCTGGTCACAAAATCCACTCAGACACCCTGAATTTCCTATTTCCCAGCAAGACTTTCCTTCTAAGGAAACAATTATTTTCGAACTCCCAGCCAGCAAACATTTGCCTGAAGAACAGACATTTTGAGGAACAGATCCATTGGGTCCCCTTTATCTACTCTTGAACTCTCATCTCTTCTCAACGGCTGGGAAATCTTGTATTTTGGATCCCATTCCTGGCATATTAGTGGAAGATTGTTACGCCATTTTGTTACCCGTTATTGAGCAATACCTGTATTTGCGTGCTTCAACGAAACTGCTTTAGATCCATTACTTAAAGCAAAAGCAAATCAGGCAAATGAAAAGGTGGTAGCTCTACACCTTGAATCAACATCTTGTCAATAACGAACTACATGAGATGTTTCAACGGCTTGTCGAACGGGACATAGCACTGAAACAGCTCTCACTGGTATTCACAATGACATTTTACTCGCAATCGACGACAATATATGGGTGATACTCGTGTTACTCGATCTTTCCGCCGCTTTCGACACGGTAGATCATGACATACTACTTGGTAGTATGAACATCAATGCAAAATTCGCTTTGGACGTTGTATTGGGATCAGCATTAAAAGCCACCGAATGTAATTTACTTTCAAATTTAAAGTAGCTTAAAGTAGTTAGTGTCATGAAAGATATGGAAAATATTAAATATTCTGCTAGGGAGAAGCTCTGATCTGGGATATTAGCCTACAAGGCTAGACCG